GGACGCCCCTTATTTGATCGACGTCCTCCAGGATTGCCCCAAGACGCGCACAGGAAGCCCCAAGAGGCCCCATTAGAATACCAAAATGGCTCCAAGATGCCCCCCCCCCCCTGAAGCCCCTAGGAGGGCCCCAAGAGATCCCCAAGCGGCCCCAAGAGCCGCCCCCCCAAGGGGCACCAAAGACGCCCAAGAGCCCCCAGGACCGCTAAGAACCCCCCCAGACGCCCCAGGAGGCACCCACGAAGCGCCCAATAGATATCGCAAGAGGCGCAGAGATGCGGCCAAGAGATCTCGGGCCCTTTTGATTGCCCTCCTCCTCCTGCTCCCCGTTTATCAGCATACGCCTTACCTACATCCGCATCCTTACTCTCCTTCTCATTATACCCCTTTTCCGTAGCCCCACCCCCTCATCTATCCACCTTGCCTTCGCATTAGCCTCCTCCCTCCATCGCACAATTCGGCAATGTCTACCCTTGCTCCCGCGCTTCCCTGATCACCTCAATTCGCCTAGACGTCGTTCCTGGATGGGCTGGTGGTGATACGCGAAGCGTTTAGAATGGCTGCTGATGGGTGTGGTGCGACGCAGCAAGCAGGCGTCTGCGAATTCTGCCAGTTGAAAGCTCCTCGTGTACAATGTCAACCTTCGTGTCCCTGGCGATCGACAGCAGAACAGTCAGTGCCTCGCCGCCGAGCAAATCGTCCTTCGTCGGGTACTCAGTGAGAAACCATGCACTGAATGTGTCGAGCATGCAGGGCTTGGTCGCCGCGATCACTATCTCGTCGACGAGCTCCTCGGGGCGTGCCAGGAAGGCGAACAGCTTGTAAGGGAACCGCTGGTGCGGTGCAATCCGCGCCCGCCCACGTGGGCGGAGCTCAGCCAGCCCGCTGGGCGAGCTTGAGTTGAACGTTGGCTCTGTTGCATTCTCTCACCCCCCTCCCCCGACGGGGGGGGAGGGGGATGGGGTGTAGCGGGGCGGGAGGGATGTGCCGAGGCGGGCTGAAGCGATCAAAGACGCGCGGGGGCAAAGAGGGGGACAGCCGAACCGTGCAGCGGCAAGGTGGCGGGAAGGCTGCGGCTGGATGGATGGATGGGGGAGCGGGGGGAACGACGCTGAACAGGATAAGGAGAATGAAGAGACGACGAGTAGGAGAAGGAAGGATGAGCAGGATGAGAACGGCAAGATAAATTGCCAGGGGCGCCGCAGATGCTTCTCGGAGCCCCTTGGGATATTTCGTTGGCGCTTCTTGGAAGCGTCTCGGGGCGTCTTCGGGATCTCTTGGCGGCCCTGGGGGGGGGGGGGTGCTCCTGGGCGTCTTGTGTGCGTCGGGGGGGGGGGCTCGTGTGGCCGCTTGGGGTCTCTGTGGGGGCTTCCTGTGGGCAGCGTGGTGCCATCCTGGGGCCATCATGGGACCTCGCGGGGCCCCCGGGGCCTCTTGGGGCGACTTTGGGGCCATCTTGGAGCCTCGCGTGGACTCGTGCACCCGTTGCTGGACGGGCTTGTGGGGCTACGCGAAGCGTCTGGAATTAGGAGGTCGTGCACGATGGCCTTGGACCGAAGAATGAGCCTGAATGCCAGCGCTCCGAAGTAGGTGGTGTACGATCTGGGGTGCAAAGCGCGCCAGTCATCCATCGCATTCATGGCGACGTCCGACTCCGCAATGAACATTGTCTCGAAGTAGTTCTGGGCTGCATTCGTCAGGGCGCACTGTCGGCGCAGGGGGCGCCTCGGGTCGAACTCGAACGTAGCGGCCCCGCCGTCGGCAATGGTTCCCACGCGCTGGTTTAATTCCCACCTGATGCCGCCCTGCCCCATGCATCGCCCGAGGAGCGCCTGCAACTTCGCGACGGCAACGTGCAGGATCGGGTACGCGAACAAGTGGCCGTCCGCAATCAAGCTGGCGCCAGCGAGCCTGTACGCCTTGTTCTGTGTCCGAACTGCGGCCACGTCGTTCTCGCCCTGCTTGTCCGTCGTCGCACCAACCGCGTCGTTCTGAGTGATCAGATGCTTCTGGTGCGCGGTGCTGCCAGGCCCCATGTAAGCCGCGCAACTCCTCGCTGATAACCTCCTGGCCATGTCTGGTGTCAACTCGCCCCTGTTGGTAACCCATTTGATGCGCGCCTTCGAACAGATGCCGTGCACTGCGTCTAGGAAGCAAATGTCCGCGAGCGCCTCTGACAAGCCAGTCCAGCTTTTCCTGTTGAACACTCGAAGGGCTCTGGGGGCAATAGCGAACAAGATATCCCAGGACAGCTTCTCGATGACGTGTTGGACTGAGTTGGTTTCGTCCCAGCCCACATAGATCTCGATGTGGTTATGGTTCTGCCAATCTCCCCTGAGAGCGCACCCGAGCGTCGCCCATCGCGCCCGCGCCCCCTTACCCTTTCCAAGGTAGCTCTGAACCACTGCTCTCCGATATGCCGCTGCCTCTTGCGAAGACGCGCCCCGTCGGACATCGGCGTGATCAATCAACACTTCAACGATGGCCTGCCTGAACTGCGCCATGGCACCAGCGGCTTGCAGGCTCAGAGAAAAACGAATGCCGAAAGTGAAGAACAAGTCGGCGATCTGGCAAGAACGCTTGTTGCACGTCGAGACCTTGTGGACGTGGCAGAGCAAGTGAAGGCAGCGCTTTTTCTTTTTTCTCTTCTCGAACTCGACTCGGATGTTGGAGGATGCGGCGTCCGACATGGCAACCCTGATATTGTGCTTGAACTTGGTTGGGGCCATACTCAGGTGCTCGACGGAGCCAAGAGCTTTGTTGATGACGTTCGAGGTGGTGCTCTCAAGGTTCGATAGCGAGTTCAGCGTCTTCACCCTGAACAGATAATATGTCGGACCGATTCTGATCAACATTGATGCCCATCGCGTGACCTGGAATATCTTGGAAACCTGCGTGTCCTTCACGCGGATGTGGGGCCTGGAAGCCCTGATCTGGCCATAACCGTCGATGCCGTCGCCGTCTCCACCCGCTCCGCCTACGTCCTCGATCGACTCCATGTAGCTGTGCAGCGGTAGCAGCACTGCATCCTCACTTTGCACGGCTCCAGTCTTCAATGGCGTCTCGTCGTAGGCCTCGAACATCGCGTACATCACCAGGTTAACGTCTGGGATAGTGGCGAGCTTCATCTCGAGTTGGCCCCTGAGCCACCTGTCCATCATGAGAGTAAGCTCTGCGAGGCGTTCCTTCACTGCCCATGCGTGTGAGTGGTGCGACAAGTTGATGCCATGCAGCATGGCCTTGGTGCTCGAGACCCCCTGCTGAGAAAGTATCCGTTCCGCTCGGGCGCACAATTCGTCCGACTGGAAGTCTGTGGAAACCGCCGCATCGAACAATGCTCCGAACATCTGGTGGTCGACAACGACGTCTGCGTGAACGGGGAGCAGCGCATGGCACGCAGGGATGATCGCGCCGACGGGATCCGCACCAGGGTCGTGGACGGGATCCGCACCAGGGTCGCGCACGGGATCCGCACCAAGGTCGACGGGATCCGCACCAGGGAAGACGGGATCCGCACCAGGGAAGACGGGATCCGCTCCGAAGCGCTGCTGGTACCTGTCGCCCCAGCCGTCGGACATGAACTCTGATATGGAGGGCGCCCCGCAGGGCGAACTGATACGGAGGCCGCGCGACGGGCGGGCGTGAAGAGCTGCACACAGCAGGGATATGAACATCATCATATGAAAGGCCCTCGGCGAAGACTCTCGAGCCAGGGGGGCTTCGGGGGGTGCACGGGGCGTCGGGGCCCTGAGCGAGAACGCAAACGTGGATTAGGGGAGTGCCCAATGGGGGCACGAAACTTTTGGAGGGCGCGCCTTCCGTGGAACTCCATATAGGGCCCTTCGGTGGAACTTCCCATGAGGCCACGGAGCGTGTGATGGGGTCACCATTGTGGAGACTGAGGGACATGCATGCGGGATTTCCCACTGCGGCCTTCGGCGGAGGTCCCTATAGAGTCACGAAGCGTGTGAAGGGCTGTGCCAAAGGACAGGGGGCATGCTGGATTTCCCGCTGGGGCCCTCGGAAGAGTTCCCTTTGGGGCCACGAAGCGTGTGCGTGGGCGGCGGCGGCGGCGGCGGCGGCAGCGGTGCGCGGCGGCGGCGGCGGCGGCGGCGGCACGCGTCGTGCGCGTCGCGGCGGGGCGGCGGCGGGGGCGGCGCGGGGGCGGCGGGGGCGTCGCGCGCGCGCCGCGCCGCTCCCAGCTGCCCCCCGCTCGCTCGCTCCCCGCTTGTCCTCCTTTCTCCTCCTTCACCTCCCCCCTTCCTCCTTCCTCCTGTCTCATCCTTCCTTCATCCGTTATATGTTTGTTCCTGCGCACGTTCCCCATTTTGTCGTAAGCCTCCTTTCCTCTTTCTTTGCTGCTCCCCTTCCTCTTGTTTGGAAGCCACGAATGGCAACGCCAGCTAGTTCCGAAAACGAGAACTACAAAAAAATCCCCCCGAACCGCCGTCCGAAAAAAAAAACAATTTTCTATGTTAACATAGAAACGGCCCTTGCCCGAAACATGCCCGAATTCTGGGTTTCCTCAAGTTCACACCATTATGCTTGTGGCCGCGGTCTCAAAGGGAGCCCAAGTCCCCCGAAACCCAGCGTGGTTACAGCTCTGAGTAAGACTGGGTGCGAGCGTGCACCTCTGCCCTCTGTCGCTTGACTGCTCTTGCACGTAAAGGATGCCCCTGGGCAAACGTGACTTTCGTTGGTGCGCGGCTCTGGGGGGGGCGCAAAGAGGCCAACTTCAGGCGAGCAAGCGACTTCTGGCCAATGCCGGGGGGGGGCACCCCTGTGGGCCCGGACCGGGGGTCACTCCGGCGAAGGATCACTCTTACGCTCAGGTCGGGCATGTCCCCCTACAGGCGGATTTTGGATGAAATGTACAGAGGACTCAACAAAGTAAAAGATACTGTAACAAATCATCCCCATACACTTCCCTTACTATATTTGAATAGTCCTCCTGTAGAGGGACATGACCGGCCTAATATTACTCGAAACCGATTTCAGTCCTCGAAGGGCATCTGGTCGAGCCGTTGCCTGGCCTCCTTGCGGGCCCTCCGGCGCGGCCACTCCTCCTTCTCCAGCGCCGGCGCCTGCCCGTCGCCGTCGCCGTGGTCGTGGCCGTCGTCGTCTGACCATCCCCAGCCGGGGCGGACGGCAGCGGGGAGGCAACGCAGCCAAAATCCACAAGAAGGACCCGCGCCCCTCGGAAGTCCCATGTACTCCAGATTTCGTGATAAAGGGAGGGGGGTCTCATTTCGGGGGGGTGTCTCTTCCAAGCTATCTTGGAGGGCCTGGGGGGGTCTGGGGACGATGTTTTGGAGGGTTCTCCCACGGGGGGGGGTCTCAAATGGCTTGTCTTGGAGGGTCCAGACCCCCTCCCTTTTATTACGAAATCTGGTGTACCATTCGTAGCTTCTTGGTCGTCAACATGGGCCCAGGATGGGCCGAAGAAACAGGGATGCAAAGGTAGCCTTGATGAAGCAACGCATCCATACTACGGATTTTGACCATCAGCGTGGGAGGATCGATGATTGCAGGAACGTTACCCCAAAGGGGTCCTGACTGGGCCCCAAGCCGCCACCGCGGGCCCAAACGGTGCATGAGAATTGCACGTGTCTTCACCTGACATGCATTGCCCCATCCCTTGACGAACACCCGACTGTCTAAAATCTGCTCAATTCCCGTCCCGCGACCCCAGGAACAACCAACATCGAATCGGTAAATCGGATGGCATCGAAATGTGCGTCGGACCGGGCCGCCTCGGCACGAGATCGGAATTGAATCGGAACGGCTGCGCCAGGATGGACAGCAGCGCCATGCAAGCATCGGGTCGCGCATCGGATCGCCCGAACATCGGAATCGAATCAGATCGGCCGGCCGAAAACGATATCGAATCCGATCGATCGGATCGAAAGTGGACCTGCCCCTCTCGGGGTCCATGCTGACCAGATTTCAAGAGGCTCGCAGCCGTGGCGACTGAGGACCCCGTGGGACCACATCCCAGAGGCCTTCAGAGTGAAGAGGTCAGAGTCGCAGGTGAGGTCGTCGTCTCCCTCGCAGTCATCAGCCCCACTGCAGTCAGGCAGACACCTAATCTCCAGGGGAGGAGGAGGGGTGAGGGGTGGGAGGAGAGGAGGAGGAGGAGGAGGAGGAGGAGGAGGAGGAGGAGGAGGAGGAAAGAGGTGGGAGAAGGATGACTGAGGAAGTAGGAAATGGAGCAACCAGGAAGGATAGGGAAGAGGAGCGATCCCCAAACGACGCGACACCCTGTGACTGCATTGCAGTGTCGTCGTCCGAGGGTTGCCAAGGTTCCCTCAACTTTTCGCACCGTCTTGGAAGCCCTCGAACCATCTGGGCCTCGTGGGGGGCTGCCCTGAAAGCCGTGGGGGCCTCCATGGAAATCCCGGGGACACCTAGTCGGGAGCGCCGGCTGGAGGGGGGCCAGACGGAGGGGGGTCGACGCACCCCGGCCCGACGCGCGTGCGCGGACAAAGGGGGTCCAGGGAATGCATTGAGAGACGAAGAGGGGGCCGCGAAACCTGAGCAGTTTCTTCGCCTGGCCACATCACCTGTCCCGCCCCAGTCCTCGCCCCACGGACGAGGAGGAGGAGGAGGAGGAGAAGGAGGAGGAGGAGGAGGAGCAGGAGCAGGAGGAGGAGGAGGAGGAGGAGGAGGAGGACACCTTTGGCACCACTGGCCATCCCGCCCAAACCGGCCAACGCCCGCTGAAAAAACAGGGCCGGAGTCCACTCTGGCACGTCTTTGTCGAGCTGCACGCAGCCGACGGAGGTCGGAGCCAACATCGAGCCGAGGACGGAGCTGGCATCGACGGTGAAGAGAGGTCAGCGTCGACGTGGAACGTCGTCCTCGTCGTAGTCCTCGCGCCGTCGTCGTCCTCGGGTTTGGGGTGGCTCGAGTCGTTTTGCTCCCTCGTCGAGATTAAAGACGGCGTCGAGATCACGGTCGTCGTCGCTCTCGTCGCCGCCGCCGCCAGCGCGGGCGCCTCGTCGCCCGCGGCGCCGCCCGAAAAGGCCCGAGGCAGACTGGCCCCGAGGGAGGCCGGCCATCAGGCCCCGGGGCTCCTCCCCGGTCTTGGGCCCGCTGGGGCTCGACCTGAGCACTACGTTTTTCAGTCGGGCAGGTCCCTATAGAGGTAAACTATACAAAAATAATTTTGAAAAAATAATATGGGGACGATTATTTGACCATTCTTGTCAATTTTCGGATATGTCTGTTGACTATTTTTAGTTTTTCCGAAATCCCCCTGTAGGAGGACATGCCCGACCCAACACCACTTTTCATGCTTGTTCCGTGCTTTCGTTCAGCGTCGTGCTGTCTTCGTCCCTCCTCAAAACCTCCACCGATTGACGCTCCCTCTGGGGAAACATGACTGCCAAAGGTTCGCCAATGCGTGTGGTGAACACTCAGATCGCCAAATATAACGCCACCTACACACTGATCCACACGCGAATTCCATTCGCCTGCAAAGCCCGGGGAAAGGCCACCTGAAGCACGGGGGTCACGGGTCCAGAGGGAAACGTGTCCTGGACCCCAGGGCATTCGCCCAGGACCGGCTCTTCATCCAGGGTCGGCTTCTGCCAGGGTCCCGGGGCCCCTGGAGGGCCCCGGGAAGCCAAAAACGGTGAAAAACCGCAGGGCCAGTTCCCCTTCAGGACCATGGGTCCCAGGGAAGGGCCCCCGGGGGCCCGCGGACGGCGCAGCACTCTTCCAGCTCGCGCGGGCCCCGAGGGGCACGGAGCCTGGGCCCCCGGGCTCCTCCCCGGGGCCAGCCATCAGGCTGGAGAGGCGAGCGGGTCTGGCGCAGACGGGTCCGCGGGGGCGGGTGGATAGCACGCGCAGTAGGTGGTACCTGGGTGCAGTCGCTTGCGCGCAGGCTGCATCAGTGGCGCGTGGATGCAGCTGTGTCTCTCCTCTCTTCTCAGGCGATACTCCAGATTTCGTAATAAAAGGGAGGGGGTCTGGAGCCTCCAAGACAAGCCATTTCAGACCCCCCCCCCGTGGGAGAACCCTCCAAAACATCGTCCCCAGACCCCCCCAGGCCCTCCAAGATAGCTTGGAAGAGACCCCCCCCGAAATGAGACCCCCCTCCCTTTATCACGAAATCTGGAACAGTCGTCGCCCGTGCAAATAAGTCGCGCCCCGCCCGCAGCAGCGCGTGCGATGACGAAACATACGGCACACTTGACGAAAATTTCTGCGCCTCCCGCTGTCGACTCGTCTGCATCAGACCCACACTTCGGCTCAGACGCCGCGATGACGAGCCTGGAGGCCGAAATCGTCGTCGCCGTCGTCGTCGTCGTCGTCGTGGTCGAGGTCGTGGTCGTGGTCGTCGTCGTGGTCGTCGTCGTCGTCGTGGTCGTGGTCGTCGTCGTCGTCGTCGTCGTCGTCGTCGTCGTCGTCGTCGTCGTGGTCGTGGTCGTGGTCGTGGTCGTGGTCGCGGTCGTCGTCGTAGTCGTCGTGGTCGTCGTCGTCGCCTCGTCGCCCACTGCGTCGCCCACGGGCTGCAGGGCGGCGGCGCTCGCGAGGAGCAGCGCGCCGAGGAGGGCGCCGCGCGCGGGGGCCATGGCCGATCGCCGGGCTCCTTCTGCGCAGGAGGCGCCGGAGGGCGCTGGGCTCCTCCGTACATAGACAGCCTCGAACGTATCCCTGCCCCTAAGATTAACAAGCCAAAAGGCGACGACAATCTTAGGGATGCGCCCTCAGAAACGGAGGGAATCCTTGAGATCGGCATCGAGATAAGGCGTTGCCAATCATAGGGATAGGGAGATGTCCCAGGCTGGTAATAAGTACAGTTTTGTCCGTCGGCGGCGAGGCAGAATTGCTGCAACAGCGATACGAGCTAAAACGGGGACGCCGAGAAGCGAATAGCCCGCAGGAGAGGGGAGGGAGACGCACCCTGGGCGGCCGCGGAGGAGGAGGAGGAGGAGGAGGTGGAGGAGGGAGGAGGAGGCACTCAGAGGCGGAAGATGGGCTCCTCCGCACAGTCAAGACGCACAAGAAGGAGGCCCCCCGAAGGCTCCAAGGAGCCCCCCCAGGCGGCTCAAAGGAGGCCCCCAAGAAGCCCCAAGAGGCACCCAATAGGCCCAAGAGATGCCCCCAAACGGGCCCCAAGGAAGGCGCTTCAAAACTGCCTCCAAGAGGCTTCGCCAGGTCCCCAAACAGCTCCCAAGACGCCCACAAGAGTCTCCAAATAGTCCCCGAGAAGCCCACGCAGCCTGCGGAATGGCGCAAGCCTCCCGAATAGAGGTGCGCGGTGAGAATGCAAGGGCATTGGAAGGCCATGCTGACGTTGCTCCAACAGGGTTGGCGAAGGCTGCCAAGGATGGGCCGAAGAGGCAAGGATGCAGTGGCAACCTTGGAAGACCTGGCATCCATACGATCCGTGTTGACTGCAGCCATTTTGGCTCAAGCGCGAACGTGCTTCTCAAGCCAGGCCACGGAACCGTGTAGACGCGTGCCGCCCGATGTTGTGACCCGCTGATGCAGCCAAGCGCACGGGAAGACCACAGCATCGAGGGCAAGTCTCCTCGACTGCGTTGCTAGAGGGCTCCTAGATAGGGTCGGAGTAGATGGAGCCGCATCGCCGATACATCGGCGATGCATCGGCGATGCAACGGCGATGCAACGGCGATGTGGGCGATGCATCGGCGACGTCGACGTGAAGGAAATCGGGCTCCACATCGAGCTGCATCGGCGATGCATCGGCGATGCGGCGCGATCATCCGACCCCATCTACTCCGACCCCATCTAGGAGGCCTAGAGTTGCATGCGAATTGGACGTTTTCCGGCGCGCTTGCCAGGACAGCGCCCCTGCACCGCACCACGTTTGGGCTCCCTCCTGGCCCCCAGGCCCCGCTCCAACGCGTCACGGCGCACCTTTTTTTCAATGGGACCCTACAGAAACTGTGCGCGCAAACCGTGGCTTCTAGGAAGTTTTCCCGAAACTGCGTTCTCGTAGTAACTCGGCAACGATCCGTACCCAAGGGGGGGGGGTCTTGGAGCCCCGGGGCAACGGTAATGCGAAGGCGGGGTATAGGGCACGTCGGAACGGGGGCGCGCTGCGATCGCAACAGTCTGCGCGCGAGCACCAGCATGTGAGCTGGAGTTCAGCCCCCCCCCTCCTCCTCCTCCTCCTCCTCCTCCTCCTCCTCCTCCTCCTCCTCCTCCTCCTCCTCCTCATCCCACCCCAAATGCGATCGTTGTCGTTGCCCGGGGGGAGAGGGGGTTGGCCCAGGTAACGACCGTTCGCTGCCAGAGTTGAGCCGGGCCTGTCCCTCTACAGGAGGAAGATTTAAGAATAATGAAAACATCCGGGCCCAGGACCCAACCATGCGCACTTGTGAATGACGCGTTGAACGTGCCGCGTTCGGCGGAGCTTCCTATAGGGCCACGAAACGCCTGAGGGACGTGCCGTAATGGGTGGGGAAGACGCATGCGGGAGGTGCCACTGGGGCCTTCGGTGGGGCTCCCTATGGGCCACGAGGCGCTGTACTGGGCGTGGCGGACGCATGCGGACGGTGCCCTTCGCTGGAGCTTCCGTTGAGGAGTTCCCTACGGCCTACAGGGCCACGAAACGCTGCACTGGGTAGAGGCCGACGCACGCGGGTGGTGACAGTAGGGGTTTCGGTGGGGCCCCCTATGGGGCCACGAAGCGCTGCGCTGGGAGGCTGGGGCGCATGCGGGCGGTGCCACCGGGGCCTTCGGTAGAGCTCCCCATGGGCCTACGAAACGCTGCACTGGGTGGGGGGTCACATGCGGGCGGACCATTGGAGCTCCCTACAGGGCCACGAAACGCTGTACAGGGTGGTTGGGGGGGGCGCATGCAGGCGGTGCAACTGGGGCTCGGTGGAGCTCCCAATCAATGGGGCCGCGAAATGGAAGACTGGGTGGTGGACGACGCATGCGGGCGGTGCCACTGGGGTCTTTTTGTGGAGCTCTCTATGGGGCCACGAAACGCTGCACTGGATGGTGGCTGACGCATTCGGGCGGTCCCACTGGGACCTCCGGTGGAGCTCCCTATGGGACCACGAAGCGCTGTACTGAGTGGTGGCTGACGCATGCGGGCGGTCCCACTGGGACCTTCGGTGGAGCTCCCTATGGGGCCACGAAGCGCTGTACTGAGTGGTGGCTGACGCATGCGGGCGGTCCCACTGGGACCTTCGGTGGAGCTCCCTATGGGGCCACGGAGCGCTGTACCGGGTGGTGGCTGACGCGTGCCGGCGGTGCCACTGGAGTCGTCGGTGGAGATCCCGACGGGGACACGAAACGTTGCACTGGGTGGGTGAATCTCAAGGAGGAATGGCTGTGCTGGGGGGTGGTTGACGCATGCGGGCGGTCCCACTGGGACCTCCGGTGAAGCTCCCCAGGGGGCCACGAAGCGCTGTGATGAGGGGAGAGGCTGTGCTGGGTGGTGCTTGACGCATGCGGGCGGTCCCACTGGGACCTTCGGTGGAGCTCCGTACGGGGCCACGAAGCGCTGTACTGGGTTGGTCAAAGGAAGGGAGGAAGGGCTCTGCTGGATGGTGGTTGACGCATGCGGGCGGCGCCACTGGGACCTTCGGTGGAGCTCCCTATGGGGCCACGAAGCTTGTTCTGGGTGGGTGAAGCGCAAGGAAGAAGGGCTGTGCTGGATGGTGGTTGACACCTGCAGGCGGTCCCACTGGGACCTCTGGTGGGGCTCCCTATCGGTGGGGCCATGAAGCGCTGTACTGGGTGGGCGAAACGCATGGAGGAAGGGATGTGCTGGCGGTGGTTGACGCATGCGGGCGGTCCCACTGGGGCCTTCGGTGGAGCCCCCTATGGGGCCACGAAGCGCTGTACTGTGCGGGTGAAACGTAAGGAGGGGAGAGGCTGTGCTGGGTGGTGGTTGTGACGCATGTGGGCGGTCCCACTGGGACCCTCGGCGGAGCTCCCTATCGATGGGGCCATGAAGCAAGCGTTGTACTGGGTGGGAAAAACGCAGGGGGGAAGGGCTGTGCTGGGTGGTGGTCGACGCATGCGGGTCGGTGGGGCTCCCTATGGGGCCACGAAGCTCTGTACTGGGTTGGTCAAAGGAAGGGAGGAAGGGCTGTGCTGGGTGGTTGTTGACGCATGCGGGCGATTGACGGGAGGAAGGAGGGGACGAGGAGGCGGGAGGAACGCGGAGACCGTCTCTTCAAAATGGGAGCCAACACCACAGGATGGTTGGAAAATGGTCGGGGGTTGATTGTTGGAGTATTGGGGGGACTTGTTTGAAGATGCTTGACGATTTCCATTTTTGGGGGGTCCGCTTGTAGGAGGACGCGCCCGAGCAAATACCAGAGGATAACAGCTATCTCCTCGCGTGAGCACGCTTCCCAGCAGCTGCGCCCCGTGGAGAGCTTCTCCTCGGGGCGCCCTGCATCGGCCGCGAACGGCCGCCCCGCGAACGGAGTCACGGCGCGGATAGCCCGGCTCTCCGCAGGCATGCTTCGTTGCATGGAGGCGTTTCGCCTCGAGTTCGGCCTCCGGGGCCTGGCAACATCGGGCCCCGGGGCTGTCGAGCAGAGAACCAGGGCGCAAAAGACTGCGCCCCGAGGCTGGCTTCGAGGCCTCTGGGGCTCACGGTTTGGAGCAGATCCTGCGATCGGCGGGTGTTGCTTGAGGTAAAGCTTGCCCAAGGCGGTGAATGTTTTCTCATTCGGCGTTTCGGCACTGGGCGGAAGTGGGGGGGGGAGGGGGCGGGGTCTGGCTCTGGGCTTCTGCCTGATGCCACTGCTTGCAACCGTGCGTCCATCATGGGGGAGACCTCGCCTGCGTGAAACATGCCGCCAGACACAGCCAAGATCCACTCCATGGCGGGGGGGGTGCGAGGGCCCGGGCCAATCGGCAAAGCAAGGAACAAGAAAAACGACGGCGTGTCACCATTGTTTTGCTCCTCTGCTTGGAGCCCCTCCCCGATGGGCCTCCTGAATCAGGGGGGCGTAAGACCCGGGTACAGGGAACTCGGAAATCCCCGACGAGGTCGTCAAAAAAATGACGAGGCCGAGCCTGCATTTTGACGAGGCCTCCCGCTGCAGACATCCCACGAAACTCCTCCTCGTCAAAATCCGAGCCGCGGTCGTCAAAAAACGATGGCCAACCCGAGTCCTGGCAAACCCGGGTCTTACGCTCCCCCGACTGAAGGGTGCCCCTCGAAGGCCAGCTGCGCCTCCCCTGGGAATCGCGGGGACAACTTGGGCCATGGCCATGGGCCGCCTCCAGCAACTCCCGAACGGGGGGCGATGGCGACCCAAAGACTGGAGGGTGAACACCCCAAACGAATCACAACTCAGTGGAAGGAGAAACGACGGCACAAACATAAACTTTTGGCGCTCGGCGCGGATTTCTTGGATCTGCTCTGGACCCCCCTCCCCTGGCTCGCGGAGCGCGCCAAGGGCGGCGCCGGAGGCGCCGCCGGGGGGCCCAGGCGCCGATCCAAGACATCCGCGCGGAGCCCTCACAGTTTCTGGTTATGGCGTGTTTCTTCTTCGACCCAAGGTGGAACACCCAAGCACGAAGACTGCAATTGGAAGCCCTCCCAGAATGCGGCTGCGCTCCGCTCTCGTGACGGCTGTGCCGCCGCCATGCCCGGCCAGAACCATGCTTTGGCCCTGGCACAGTGTGCACGCCATTCTGGCCGAGGCCAGGGGGGTCCACACAGTCGAAGCATGCCCGAGGCCCCTTCTGGAGATGCCCCAGTCGAAGAGCGTTCCAAAGCGGATAGCCCAAACATGAACAATATGAGGGTACAGGGTACCCCTCCAAAGC